AATCTACTTTTTCATGATATTCTAATTTTATGACCAGCACCTGTATTTTAAAAATATAATTATTTTTATGTTGTTTGTTAATCTGGTCAGAAATAAACTTTTACAATTCTTTTTTTTCTTTTTAAACTGGGGTCATTCTTAGAGCTGTGTACAACCACTAAGATTACTATTATGCACTTCCAATGTAAAGCAACATCCCATCTTTTGAGCTTGAAAAGCATTWAAAATCCATCATGTTTAATGCTAAGTTGCTAACTCTACAGACTTAAGGGTTTTTCAGCCCTTGCAGTGGAGCCTCTTGGGGAGGCAACATTATTTGTGGGGGACACCTGTGGGCGTTTGTCGCTGAAAATGTTCCGCCGCTCCCAGAGCAAAAACCGATTGTTAAATTAGCAAGATGGATGCAAATGTGTAACTGGTGTCCTCAACCTTTTATCTCTACGATTAACAATAAAAAAGTATTTCTTCCTCCGACTCTAGTGTAAAAAAAACTACTGTTTATTTGCTTAGTTATGCGCAAAATTGGGAGAAATTATRATGATTTATYCCCCCATGATACAATATTTCAGTTATATACAAGAAAGTTATTAAATTTATTGGTAGTACATTAGAAAATGTTTGGTCAAAATTTACTTTCGTGTATGACACAACCCCCCAACTTTATGGATGATTTTTGGGGTTTAATTATTTTCATTATAAATCCCACTTCAAAAGATCTGAACTGTCACTTTAAATCACCTTCATTAWAAATACAGATTAAATCAAAGCTACTCAAACAGGGGAATTAAAATGGTTACATAATCTTTGGATTTCACTTTTCTTTTGTAGAAAAATAAATTCTAGCAGAGGTGTGTGGAGCCACAACAAATTGTCTACACAGATAATAAATACAGATTTTTATTTATATTCTAAGTTTTTTTTTTCTCCAAACTGTCCTCAAGTTTTCTGTAGAAACTGCAACCACACATGATCAAGGGAGGGTTGGGGGATAAAAGGCACAGTGGTGATGAAGGACCCTGACTTGAAAGTGGTCTTCACAGGGTCGGCATCTTGGCAACGAGGCGATATCTCTCTCTCTCACACACAAACACACACACACACTTTGACTCATTCACACAGATGGGGTGCGACTCTTCTAGCAAAACTGAGTGAAGTGTGTTGCAGCTCACTCGCTGGGAGCTGGAAACACAAAAAGGAAAGTTCAAAACAATAAAAAAAGCAGGTGGGATGAGTTTTGTTGTTGATGTGTTGTAACAATGCAGCTGTGCTCACCTGGCSCCTCCTCTACTTTGGTCTCTGTGGTTTCTAGAGAGGAAAACAAAGAGCAACRAGTTTTATTTAATGTGAGCTGAAGGTTTCAGTTTGCTTTTTGTGTGTCCTTTCCCTGCTAGATTAATTATTCTGTTTGTAACTTTAGAGGCACCGTGGGTTTGTTTCACTTTCTTTATTGAGGTAGGCCACAAGCAAACCCTTAAAATAATCAACCCTCCATGTGACTCTGAGATGGGCGAGCTGCTCTGCCTGGGCGACACTCGATCTCCTCTCTCCACTGGCTGTGAAGTGAAGGTTCATCGTGGACGCCCTAAATGTGACGCTCTGGTTTCTCCGTGGGACTCGGATTGCAACTTAATGAGACCGCAGTGACAACAAAGCACGGAACATACTGAACAGGACTAGTGGTCAAGCTTGCACCCGAGGACRAGTCAAGTCGGACACCAAAGGGGGTCAAGATCAAGTGAGAGACAGGACGGGGACTTAGTTACATTGGATGAAAACTGGTGGGGAAAATAGAGATTTTGTGGTGTTTAGCATTAAATAATGACTGTATTATAAACACGGAGTTACTAAACTCAGACTGTCATTGACAATGTCTCAGTGACAGTAATTTGTTTAACATTGTGCAAAAGGAAGCTGTTGACAGAGGGGGCGGAGCCAGAGGGGTGGCCATTGTTGCAACTTAATGGCCACACCCTAATAACTGATAAGTGGGTGGGTATCTTCGGTTTTATATTTACGTTTAGATTTTGTTAGAGTGTTCTCTGATACTACTGTACCTACATTTTTAGCTGTGTATGTTTATAAATGCCTGAATAATTAGTTGTGGCTAGGGCTGCCACAAACGATTATTTTTATTATCGATTAATCACCGATTATTTTTTCAGTTAGTCGACTAATCGGATCATATGTTAATTGAATATAAAACATAGAGCTTATTGCGTCAGAATGCAGCTGCTATTATATAACCATCGTTAGATTTTAGTTGTATGCTAACTAAAAATAATTGCTGTGGAAGGCAAGTTCTGCTCTGCAGATATTGTACAGGTTTCTCTTTCATTTTCTTAAAATGATCCCACACTTTTGAGCTCCGTTGCTGGGTAGCTATGATACCAGAGCCTGTCTGTATAATGTCTTGTGACGTCCACAGCCTACCCCAGTTACCACTACTGTGCATGTGTGTCAAAGACAGAAAGGCAGATGTGGCAGTGGAAGGTGTCAAAGCAGTTTGGAGAGAAAAACAAAGTAAAGAACAACGAAAAAGAGAAAACGATTAATCGTTTATTAAATTAGTCATCGATTGGTTTAATAATCGATTAGGCGTCGATTAATCGATTAATCGTGGCAGCCCTAGTTGTGGCTAGCACTCAGCATTGTTACGATCACGGAATACTTCAGCTCAATATTTCTTAAAACATCTGAATTAAAGCTGTGACAGGCTACTTGCATTTTCAAATCCAGAGTAATTTTCTTTATTTATGTGACACTCTGCCCCCTCACAAAAAAAAGAAACTTGGCCACCCCTGCGCTACCTCTTGTAAAAATAAAGTCTAGCTCCGCCCCTGTTGACAGATCCTTCAAAGTAATAATTATATGTACATCTACTATGATTAACTGGATTTAAAATGGTTATAACTCAGTTGATGTTGCATCCAATATCACATTCTTTTTAATTTGACCATCAATTTATCATCTTAGTTTGAAACTCCGGCATGAAAGAGAGAGATCTGCGTTCCCTCATTTTGCTTTTAAGGACTCAATTTTTTAGAGTAATCTTTAAAAGAGGTCTTGTGGGATTTTTTTTCAGGGTGTTTAAACCCCCCCACAATAGTTCAACATAAAGTAATGCGAGTGAAGGGACTGTATTGAGACCGATGAGAGAATTAGCTGCAGCTGTGGCTAATGATAATAGGGAATAGGTGTAGGAGAAGAGAGGAGCAGAAGCTGATGACAGGAGARGAAGAACTGATGGCACAAGGGACACTGGGAGAAAACTGAAAATGAAGAAAACAAAGAAAATCCATCCCATTCAAAACTGCCAAAACAACTTATTAATATATTAATTATTTTAGTTGCCTGTATCAGTAAAGGTTTGCATTAAAGAAACATTTTCTTTCCTGGGAGATTGACATCATAACTATTGTTGCAACATTTTCTGGTGTTGTTTAAGGCTTTGGCAGATTTGCATTCAGTAAATAGAAAAATGAAAAGCTGACCTCATTATCCTTTTAGCTGCTTGTCATTTGCATCACTAAGCACCAAGCCGAGCAAATTCAGCTCTGGACTATCATCRCACACATTTAATGGTAGCTTTATTCATCACAATTTTAAATATATTTTATGTTGGGTTCAAAATGTATCTGGGATTACTTGTGGGATAGTACCTTTAAAGGTGGTAGACTTTCTTTAAAGTTTAAAATATTCTGACTCACCAATAAATTTCATGGCTTCTGAGTCATTCTCACTTTAATGAGTTGATTTTAGACATAACTAACATATCTAAAACACTTTAAAAATAAAGAAGCTTTGTTCTTTACTATTTAGCTGCTGTTTCTAGATTTGTTCAAAGAGCTGTCTTCAACAGGTAAGATATTAATTGTTTATAACCCCGTCTATAAAGCTCCGACCTTCAATATGTCTCAATGAATCAATGAAAATGAGGTCATTTATGTAATGAACTGAACAAAAAACCAATATAGAGGAAGGTTTTTTTAATGCAAACTAAATAATTTGAGGGGTGACCTGAAACACATTCCTGCAGCGAACAGTTGATTAAAGCCTGAGTCATGTCCGTGCGATGTTATCTGGTGGTTACAGGCATTGCAACAGGGAACAGGGAGGGTCTGGGGAGAGGTGAAAGCGACAGTACCTCGGCCCGGTGGCATTAAACCGCTCAGGTTACCTGTAACACCTTGTCTTCCTCTCACCCAAATCCTGTGAGTTACTGACTTTAAAGCCTGTCATCAGTCACTCTATTAAAGGAGATTTGCATATCAACWCAAATTTCTCCAATTTGCCTTGATAAGACAAAAGGTTCAGCTCAAATTTTACTCAGTTTAAGAGATAAACTTGGATGATTTGGATGAAAGTTTAAAGCTAAAGCCAAGGTTGTGAGCAGCTCACATGTTCAATTTAAAATAGTGYATGAAATGTTGAATTCCCTTATGAACGTCTGTTTGTAGCTCTGACACACCTGGCTGTGGAGCTGCAGCCTCTGAGGAGCTCGTTGCTGTTTCGGGGGTTTCTTGTGCCGGTGTCCCTGCTGCCGGAGTCTCTGCTGGAGGCTGGGAGTCCTCCCCGGTTGGTGGGTTTGCAGAGTTTCCATCTCCAGGTGTTGCAGCATCAGAGGCGGCAGCGGGCTCACTGCCGAGCTTAGCATCACTGCCTTCTGCGGGCGTCTGGTCTGGAATAGTTTCACTGTCCTCGGCCATGTTTCCATTCTCGCTGGCCACCCCTGTTGGGAACATGTATTRGTACGACACAAAATTTAAACAGTGTTTTAAGAGATGTTGTGTAATATTGTCTGCAACCTCAACACACGAGCCGCCACTCRTCTGTGTTGTCTGAAATCATGGCAGCTCAGCTGAGTGGCAGATCTTTGAGGCCTCGTGGCTCCTTGGTGACTGAACGTCTACACAAACACACTCACAKGCCCTGAATGGCCTGAAGCAGGGGTCCCCAAACTTTTCCCTGTAAGGGCCACATAACTTTTCCCTTCTCTGGTGGAGGGCCGGAGTCAGTTTGTAACAGAAAAAGTGTGACTATTGCAGGAGCCTAAATGTAAAAATTTATTGTTTTCCAGAAAGCACAATCAAATAACCCTCTCTGGGTTCTTCACAGTATGTTTTCTGCTGAGCTAACAGTTCACTTTTTAGCTTTGAGAGTTTGTTTGCTCGCATTTGGCCTTGCAAGCTATCATACTTATCTTTGTGACGGGATTCATAGTGTCGCCACAGATTGTATTCTTTGAATACCGCCACCGCCTCTTGACAGATGAAGAAAAAAAATAATCGTTTGTCCACTGCAGCTTGAATGCCCTGCATTCTGAATCTATTTTTCTCTTACCTAATCTTTTCACCATTATTCCGTTCTCTCTTTGAGAGGGGCGGGTTTAGGATTTTTTTCTGGGGGTTGCCAGATAGGGGCACAGACAACAGAAGGATGGAACAGAACGTCACATTATATGTGTGTATGTATGAAATAGTTACTAACTAATAATAGTTAATAATGAAAATAGTTCATAACTAAGGAACATTTTATTGCAAAAGTCCAACTTTATAATCAAATATAAATACACATATATGAAAAAAAAAAACCTAAATGCTCTCTGGTATTGTTCTGGGGGCCGGACCAAATGGGGAGGCGGGCCGGATACGGCACGCGGGCTGTAGTTTGGGGACCACTGGCCTGAAGTGTCAGAACATAGCAGATTCAATCCCACTGCTTGCTTCAGCAAACTTAACCTATAAAAATGACAAAACAGACCTCTCAGGTCAAAAGCAGAGGAAATAGTTAAACCAGTCTGCAGAATAAATAATATTATGTGACTTTCTTGTTACATTTGGCAAAAAATGTTTCTATGTCAGAAAACCTATTTGGCAGCTGGTATTCTGAAATGATGGCATAAAAAACTTCTGTCCTTGAGCCTGAATAACTTTAATAAGTTAATGTTTAAGAGGAGCGATAATCCGTAAACATTAACARCTCAGGAAACACGTTTCCTTATGAGCTGCACATCTGCTCTTATCACTTCCTTAGATCTTTTTTTGGGAGAAAGTTTTGCATTCCTGCAATTTGTGTGGATTACATAAATAACTTTGAACCTTCAATGACCCAAGTGTTGCTGGAAACATGGTGAATAAACTCTTAAAAATGCCTGTTTCAAGCTGAAAAACAACTTTTTCTGTGAAGTTGTTAAAACTAAAAGAAACAGAATATTAGCTAAAAGCCAAATTGAAGGAAAACGCTACCTAAAAGCTAAGAACAACTGACTTAGCAGACAAATTCCAGATAGAAGCTAAAAGCAGCTAAAGATTATCTGAGAGTAGCAAAAAAGCTAGCTCAAATGCTAGTTAAAAATTAAATGACAATAAGCAAAAACTGTCTAAAGGCTGGTTAAAAGCTAAAATTAGCACAATGATAGCTAAAACCTTAAAATAGCACACGGCTAACTTAAGCTAAATGTCCTGCATCTCAGTAGTCCAGGTAAAAAAATCAAAAAGAAAAAAATTGTATAGGTCTTCTGGACGGGTTCTTCTCTAATGAAACGTTTCGTCTCTCCTCCAAGAGACTTCTTCAGTCTGAGAGTTTCAGGCAAAATTCAGGCTTTTAAGCACTGCCTCCATGTGACTGATACTCACATCACATGGCTATCGTTGACACCTAATTAACACCTATTGTTAACAGGGGGTGGAGTGATACTGGCAATAGCAGCACTGTAGGAGGGGGACAACTGAAAACGGAGGCCTCCACCTCTGTTTAATGATGGACGGTCTTTCTTCACAAAAATGGCTTCTTTTACTCCTCTCTCAAACCAACGTTCCTCTCTATCAAGAATGAGAACATCCTCATCTCTGAAAGAGTGACCGCTGGCCTGTAAATGAGTGAAAACTGCAGAGTTCTGGCCATTAGATGTAGCTCGTCTTTGTTGGGACATTCTTTTGAACAGTGGCTGCTTTGTTTCCACGATGTGTAACTGGTCGCAGTCCTCCTGGCACTTCACAGCATATACAACATTGCTCTGTTTGTGCCGGGGCACCGGATCTTTGGGGTGAACCAGCCTTTGCCGTAATGTGTTTTGGGGTTTGAAAGCCACTGGGACATCATGTTTAGAAAAGAAACATCTCAGTTTCTCCAAAACACCCGCAACATACGGAATAACCACTGGTTTGGGTCTGGGTTTGGGGTCTTCATTTTCACCTGAAGGTTGCATGGAATCYTGTCTGTGTCTCCTGTCTGCTTTCAGGAAAGCCCAGTCAGGATAACCACACTGCTCCAGGGCCTGTCGTGTGTGTGATTTCTCTTTCTSCCTGGCTCCTGGGTTTGTAGGGACACTGTCTGCTCTGTGGTACAGAGTCCTGATCACTCCTAACTTGTGTTCCAGTGGGTGGTGGGAGTCAAAACGCAAATATTGGTCTGTGTGGGTGGGCTTACGATAYACGCCAGTTTCCAACTGTCCTCCATCCGAAACCGAGACATCGCAATCCAGGAACGCCAACCTGCCATTTTTTACATCCTCTCGTGTGAACTTWATATATTCACCCACAGAGTTGATGTGATCAGTGAAATGTTGGACTTCCTGGGCATGAACTTAAGCTAAACGTAGCAAGAAGGCAAACGCAATACTTTTAAAAGTACTGCAGTGTATTTCAACAAATAGCTCCATAAACAGGTAACCTTTGTAAATAAAATTCAATTTCTGAAAAATATAAAGTCACTAAAATTAAAAGTTATWGCACCCATTTTCTCAATGCCCTGAACCTGTTGGTGTAAGACTGGCTAAAAGTGTACAAAAGTAGTTTGACTAACAAAAAGAGTTCAGCCAAAAAACAGGAAAACAACAGAGTGACTCAGCGTTCACAATAAAATGCGTGTTCAGTGAGTCGGATTAAAGATTCTAAGTGTAACAATGTGTGTGTCGAGTTTGTCCCAAAGTGGGCGAACTTTGGGTTAATAAGTGCAATCTCTCTGACTTGGTTGTGTTATGAGACRTCTGAATAAGTAAATAAGATACATGCAAAAGTAAGAAAACATCCTGATAAATTTCCATCTGACCTCTAAGGCGATGATAAGAAGAGTTTGTTTCAGTGGCATTCAGCTGATAAACTTAAAAAAAAAGAGTCGTCATAATTAGTCAAAACCAAAAAGTTTTTAGAAGTTTTTTTTTCTTTTGTTTTCCTGGAGTTTAGAGACTGGCATCATGTTGCCAATGACAGCATGCTTTCAGCTCAGAGGTAGTCCCACCTRGTGAATCTTTCACCTTTTTGTTGGTTGAGGAGAACTCACTGAACTGTGAAGTCACTCTAACACGTTTTGTTTGGTTTCCACTGCGAACAAAGCTAAAAGACACAGCATTAGTTGAAGAAAGACATATCACCCGCCACCTTCCAAGCCAGAGTTTTGAACAAATAATACGTATAATGGGTACATTTTTGGTCAATATATTGCAAGATATCATACTCATAGTATGTGTTGTGGATCAGTGTCAGCTATTACCTCTCTTGATTTTAGATAAAGAAAATATTAATTTGTTTCACACTAAAAAAGTGCACTCATTTGCAAGACAGCAGGGCTCTTTTTTCTGAGCCATCAAAACAAAGAAGTGTYTAAAGTCGCCTCTCCGTTTCCTATTGAAATCGTAGACTGTCACCAAATCTTCTCTTGGGGACTTACAGAGCCAGAAACCACTGTTAAATAATGACAATAAACTTTCTCATCCTGTCATTGTGGAAATGCGACTCATTAAAAGTAAAGACAGCAGAAACTTCAACCAGGCAAATATCAGTGAAGGTGATTTGCATTCAGTCTCCTTATCAGAGCTCTGTTCACATGCAGCAGAATTAGATGATGCATCTTTAAATGGAGTCAGCAGAGATCTAACATTTCCACACTCAAGTTATTTATAGCACTTATTTACCTGAAGTGACTGAAAGAAGTTTGGTTATTTAATATGAATGAGGGGAATAAGTTTGTTCATTACAAAAAGTATAATTTTTATACTAACGTAGCAAAAAAATAATAATTTGGAGGACTTTTCATCAAGTCATGACATGTTAATGTTGGTTAAAATAACTGATTCATGTGACAGTTTGTGTTTGGAGACTATATGTTTTTTTACGTTAATAATAATAATAATAATAATAATAATAATAAAGAACTTTAGGAATGTTTGTTGTTGGCTCACCTGTGGTGCTGGCTCCGTTGCTCTCCTCGGGCTTGGCGTTGGGTCGGGTCGTGTCCACGGCTGTAGTCTGAGAGCTGGAGGCGCATCCCATCCTGCCCTGTGCACGCGGAGAGGACTGCAGGCTGGAGCTGCAGCTGAATCGTTTCGGTAAATGGAGAAAGGCGAAACCCCAGGTGTGTGTTTGTGTGTGTGTGTGTGAGAGAGAGAGAGAGAGAGAGAGAGAGAGAGAGAGGAGCTGTTGATGAAATTCCTTTGGTGCCGTGCGTAATTACGCACACTCCCTCCTCTCCTATCGGATTTCTTGTGCTAAAATGGATAAAAGGGAACAAGAATTTGGTGCAGGTATCGTTTATATTGTTATTATGTTTTGTTACTATTTTTATGAAGGTGTTGCGATGATGTGACACCTGTTGAAGAAGGGAAAGATGTTGCATCGAACTGCAGTCAGAGCTCCTAAAAGAGAGAGCTGTTCTACACAGAAACAAAACCAAAAATTAAAAATTCTCCTTAGATACAAAGGAAACACACGGTAAAACATATACATCTTTGTTTTTTCATTCAAGCATTTCTATTACCTGCCGTACATACGCAAATATTTTTGTGTGTATGTGTGTGTCATTTTAAACAGGCTATTAGTTCATGTATTTCTGGTATACATTTGTTTCATGCTCAGTATTACATTGCCTCTTCTTTTGTTAACCATTTCTAACCAGTATTTTTAAGTAATTTTTGTAATTATTGAATTATGAATAGTAATTCATACAAATTACTTTTAGAACTGCTTGATAACTTAAATAATAAAGTGAGCCGTTTTATTTAAAAAAGAGAAAAAAAGAGAAAAAGATGCTTGTACTAATATTTAATATCTCGGATTATACATGTAGGCCAAAAGTTTTAATCCAAATCCCATGTTTTGCTTTTTCGTTGTGCGCAGCGGCTTTGCGCAGGTTCGGAGACAGCCACCGCCGCAATGCACCATGGGACTTCCTTTCTCTCCGAGGCCATATTGGAGATAACTCACAGTAAGACGAGCTCTGAGTTTTTCCACCTAAATTAATCGTTTTTGTAGTTATTTCTCACATTTCAGAGCTTAACTACAGCCTTGTCCTGTCGCCCTTGTCTCTGTAGGTTGGCCTGTTCGGACTAAACCGCAAAAATGGTGGCCGCTAAGAAGACGGTGAGTGGCATTAGCTGCAGCCGGAGCGCACGCGCAGCCGCTGGGCCGAATTACAGCTTCACGTGGAGCGCTGTTTCTATCGGGGCCTGCTAGTTAGCATCGTAGCTGAAGCGTTGCGCTTTAACCCATTTAAACTGAAGTTGTAATAAATTGTTTATGTCTGCTCTAGATATGGTAGCACGGACGTGATGTGTTATTAGTGTCTATTTGTTTTTTTTTTTACGCTATTTACGTTTAAGGTATTAAAAAGCCGGTTCAAACCAACTCGGAAGCTAATGCTAGTTTGCTAAATCTTAAATGAAGTTTGTCAGAAACGTAGCAAAGCGTCGTAGTGGTGTAAAGCAGAGAAGAGCATAATACCTTCTCCAGACACGAGTGTTGTCATTTTATTGTATTTGAGTTCGTTTGATGCGAGTTTTCTGTCATTGCTTGACCAGAGTTGTTGATCTTTTTTTGTATTTATTTTAACCAGAAAAAGTCCATGGAGTCCATAAACTCTCGTCTCCAGCTGGTGATGAAGAGTGGGAAATACGTTTTGGGCTACAAGCAGTCCCAGAAGATGATCCGTCAGGGTAAAGCTAAGCTGGTTATCCTGGCCAACAACTGTCCTGCCCTCAGGTATGTCCACATGTCTTCAGTAAATACCATTAAAAACTACTACTTCATTATAATTGTCAATCTAGTATGTTGGCAACAACACCTATTTCTACTGCATGTGGATTTTCTTAGGCAGATGTTTATGAAATGGGATGTATACACGGCGAGTGCAGCAGAGAGCCGATCAAGTAGTTTGATATAATTCTTGTTATACATGACATTCATTTAAAGTGAAGGAAAGAGAGCACTGCTGACGATGTCTCATTTGACTTGATTAATGAATCAAAATATGTTGAGTATTTAACAAGAGTTTCTGGACAGAGGGAATCTGAATCACACTGTTATGAGAAATCAGCTGAGGCTAATTATGCAGAGATTTTAGGAGTTGTGTAGTTTAAAATTAAACACAAAACTGGTCCAAAACTCAGCAATAATTTACCCCCATAATTAATCTTAAAACTTAGACTGGCTATGTATAGCGCGTTATATACAGCAGTGTTTCACAAAGTTGAGGTCGGGACCCAAAGTGGGGCCCGAAAAATCAAGGTGAGGTCCTGAAAAGATTTTTGGAATTAATTACATTTTTGCCTTAGTTGTTACAAAGGAGTGAAGTTAGTGTATTTAAAATGGATAAATGTGGTATAAAAGATATTGTTACTATTAATATTAACTATTGTTTTGTTGACCTGATACAAATGTTTACCATCTAAAAATAGTTGGGGGCATAGGTCTCTGCTACTGTTATTTTATGGGTCAAAAGCTGAAAAGTTTGGGAACCAGTGCACTTTGGTTCCCAAAGTTGGGCTTGGGACCCAATTATGGGTCATGAAGCACCTTGGATAATCTCCAGAAATCAATTTAAAGGGCAATAAAAATAATCACGGATGCAATATTTTCCCCCCTATTACAAAAACACAAAATCAGTATAAAGAAGTATTTATATTTGTGTACAAGCGGTTTAGATTGTGAAAAAGCCTGTGTTTTTAGGGTTATTAACAAAGTTTGTGTACTCAGACCAGTAATATTTGGGGTCACAAGTTTTTGCCATGAATATTGTGTGGGTCAGAAGATAAAAAGTGTGAGAACCACTGATATACAGTATGTGTCATGGTGAGTGTATATAGCATACTTTCTACACTTGTTGTGTATGTTGTGCTGCAATATGGACTTGTAATGTATATACAGTGGTTTGCAAAAGTATTCATACCCCTTGAACTTTTCCATATTTTGTCACATTACAACCACAAACATAAATATATTTCACTGGAATTTAATGTGAAAGACCAACACAAAGTGGTATACAATTGTGAAGTGGAAGCAAAATTTTACATGAATCAAAACATTTTTTACAAATAAAAAACTGAAAAGTGCGACGTGCAAAAGTATTCAGCCCCCTTATCCCTGAGTGCAACCAATTGCATTCAGAAGTTGCCTGATGACTGCTAATGACTCAAAAGGGTCCACCTGTGTGTAATCTAATCTCAGTACAAATACAGCTGCTCTGTGACGGCCTCAGATGTTGGTTAAGAGAATATTGGGGAGCAAACAGCATCATGAAGTCCAAAGAACACACCAGACAGGTTAGGAATATGGTTTTGGAGAAGTTTAAAGCAGGCTTAGGTTATAAAAAGATTTCCCAAGCTTTGAACATCTCACGGAGCACTGTTCAATCCATCATCCGGAAATGGAAAGAGTATGGCACCACAGTAAACCTGCCAAGACAAGGCCGTCCACCTAAACTTACAGGCCGAACAAGGAGATCACTGATCAGAGAGGCAGCCAAGAGGCCCATGGTGACTGGATGAAATGCAGAGAGCCACAGCTCAGGTGGGGGAAACTGTCCACAGGACAACAATTAGTTGTGCACTACACAAATGTGGTCTTTATGGAAGAGTGGCAAGGAGAAAGCCATTGTTAAAAGAAAACCATATGAAGTCCTGTTTGCAGTTTGCCAGAAGCCATGTTGAGGACACAGCAAACATGTGGAAGAAGGTGCTTTGGTCAGACGAGACCAAAATTGAACTTTTTGGTCACAATGCAAAACGCTATGTGTGGCGGAGAAAGAACACTGCACATCACTCTGAAAACACCATCCCCACTGTCAAATATGGTGGTGGCAGCATCATGCTCTGGGGGTGCTTCTCTTCAGCAGGGACCGGGAAGTTGGTCAAAGTTGATGGGAAGATGGATGGAGCCAAATACAGGGCAATCTTGGAAGAAAACCTGTTGGAGTCAGCAAAAGATTTGAGACTGGGGCAGAGGTTCACCTTCCAGCAGGACAACGACCCTAAACATAAAGCCAAAGCTACAATGGAGTGGTTTAAAAAAAAGAATATTCATGTGTTAGAATGGCCCAGTCAAAGTCCAGACCTAAACCCAATTGAGAATTTGTGGCAAGATCTCAAAACTGCTGTTCACAAACGCTCTCCATCCAATCTGACTGAGCTTGAGCTGTTTTGCAAGGAGGAATGGGCAAGAATTGCAGTCACTAGATGTGCAAAGCTGGTGGAGACATACCCTAAAAGACTTGCAGCTGTAATTGCAGCAAAAGGTGGCTCCACAAAGTATTGACTCAGGGGGGCTGAATAATTTTGCACATCGCACTTTTCAGTTTTTTATTTGTAAAAAATGTTTTGATTCATGTAAAATTTTGCTTCCACTTCACAATTGTATACCACTTTGTGTTGGTCTTTCACATTAAATTCCAGTGAAATATATTTATGTTTGTGGTTGTAATGTGACAAAATATGGAAAAGTTCAAGGGGTATGAATACTTTTGCAAACCACTGTATATTCCAATGTTTATAGCTTGAAGAGTATACACCAACTTTTTTTTTTACCTTTTTAATAATAAATTGGTRTATTCATGCCTTCTCCTGGGTTCTAAAGTAATGTTTAGTTTTGGCAGGTTTTAACTGGCATTTTCACTTAAATGAGTAATCACTTGATCCTAATTTGTTTTTACTTAATTGCTAATCTTGTTAAACTGTCAGCTCCATTTACAGTATGTTCGTGTTTTTGGTTTGGCTAGTTTATGCTTTCTTTAATTTCATATTTGAATTTTCCCTCTTTCTAAAATAAAAAAAGGCCATCTGCTTTGGCTCACATTTTGCTTTTGTCTTTCTCCCATCCAGGAAATCTGAGATTGAGTACTACGCCATGCTGGCCAAGACCGGTGTTCACCACTACAGTGGAAACAACATTGAGCTGGGCACCGCCTGTGGCAAGTACTACAGGGTGTGTACACTGGCCATCATTGACCCTGGTGAGTACACATGTTCTCTCTGCTGTACCGTGCAAACGAACAGACTAGTTGTTTCCAGCTCATCTAAAATCCATCATGTTCAGGTCAACTAGCCACTTTCATAATCATTTGTCCTTAATGAGTTTTCGTTCTATTAAGTTACTTATAAAATATCAAACTGTAATTTATAGGTGCTGAGGTGTTTGTGTCATTTTGTCATGTTTTTGTATTTGTTATTGCTTTGGATTCTTACTGTTTTTGTTGACAAAGTACTGAAACTAGTGAGCAGRGGTGTGTGTGCATGTAGTGTTACCTGACCTGTACGCACAGTACAACCTATCTTGTATGTCTGAATTTACATAAGTTCACTGACTGATTTTGGTTAGAAAAGTGCTGACTTSTRTGGTTTTTGGTTTCTTCTTTGCAATTTTTTGCTTCTGTCCAGTTCAGAATTGGTGCTTTTCTTGAATAAAGCTGGTTGGAGCWCTTTTATTGTGCTGCCAGTGCATTTAAGGCAGCTCATTGTCCCCTCTCTAACATTTACACCACTTTTTTTTTGTTATGGAGTTTTAAATAGTAACTTATTTACATTTCATTTTGTATTTGAACACTATTAAAGGTGAGTTACTTTAAGTCCACTGACTTTGCTCATCTTTTTCTCCTCAGGCGATTCTGACATCATCAGGAGCATGCCAGATCAGCAGCAGCAGGCTCAGTAAAACTGTTCCCCCACCCTCATTGTTATAAATAAATAAAAAGACAACAACAGTCCGATTGTTTTTTGTTCARTATCTAAATACCTGACATATCTGCAGACGTTTCAAAGAGAACTTCAGAGTTGAAATTAAAACATATTTAAGAGCTGTGATGGCTTTTCTCATCTTTGACAATTGCAATCTCCACAAAGCTGTTTTAAGGRTTAATTTTTGTAGTTTTAACCATGAAGACTACATCTCTTATGTTGAATTTATTCAACTTTTACTCCATTTCTTTCCCAAAACACTTCGAGACTATAAGTTTAATGGTTGTAATCAAGTATTTGACWGTTGAAGACATTAAAGATTTACAGGTTGACGATCTTTGACAGTGATGACTTACATCCTTCATCAGTTTTCAGATTATTATCCTGCTTATTTAACATTGATCATTTGTGTGGAAAGCCAGTGAAGACCATGTGTGACTGAGAAATGCCAGAACTACACAGATATTTGTAGCATGGAGTAAATTGTTTATTTTATGCCTTATGTGGCTCTATGTTTCCACTGAAGTCATAAAACACCAGTTTGTCTGCAGCTGGGGGACACGAAACAAACTTGGAGCCCTGGATTGTCTCTTTTTACCATCAGTAATATTAGAAATTTGCAGAGTTGTAAAGATGACTGGTCTACAAAACATCAAATTGAGCTTAAACTCATCCACTGAGCAGTTTGACCCATTTTATTGGATTCCCATCTAAACTGATTCACGTGCAGCAGGATCCTYGCATGAAATGAGGACAAACTCTAAAGAGGCTCTAAAAAGATTGAAAACAATGTGAACAAACTGATCTATAAGTAAAGCTTGTTCTGATGGCACCAGATTACTGTGGGAGCTAGATTTTCCTATTTTAAACTAAAAAAAAATTGCTAAAGACAATTTTCTACAGCTCAAACCTGAATGTAATATTTTTTGCAGGTTTGACTTGCTAAAATTGTCCCATGAATGCTGAAAAACTAATATTTAAAGTTATTACATTTTAATCAATAAACAAGAACTTGTTGAGTAGGCTTGTTCTTTATTATACATAAGAGCACAGGAGCTCATGCAGAACCAACAGAACAGACGATACATCAACTTCAGAACCGGTCCGGCTTCAGAGTAAACCTTCAAAATCTTTCAGCTCTGCAGCTTTCACACACAGCAAACACTGATTTATGATGATCAAGCTCAGGGGAGACAAGAACACAAGAATCAAATGGAATAAAAACTAAGGTTAATCAGGATTTATGAACTGATTGCATAGTCTGAAAAAACAATGCTGCCAGATTACTGGAATAAGTACTRTTCTTTTTACTATTTCATTTATGTGTCACAACAGTCCAGGCGAAGTGTAAGCATTTTAACTATTGATTTTGTGCAACTGTGGAGTCAAATCAATGTTTAAAAAAAACAAAACATGAGTTTGTAACAAATATTAAAGACCAAACAAATCTCGGTGCACGCCAGAGGCAAAACGAGAACATAAAGATGTTTCCACAGCAGCACGTCACGCAGTCTTTATGGGAAAMGGCCCTCAGTCCAGCTAAGCTTCCCTACAAAACATGAGCATCAAAACAACAAAGACAGTCGATGCAGCTGCAGGTCGACAGGAACAGTTTCACCACTTTTACACTTTATATCTGTACTGTTGGTGCGTAAATAGTGATACTGGATGRTTACATAAACTTAAGAGTTTTAGGAAAAGTAAAACTGGAATATCGTGGCTAAAAAGAACAAGTTCAAACAAACTTAAAAGGTGAGACACAAGTTTATCCTCACGACGAACAGTTTCTCCCTTCATGGTTTTCTCCTTTAGTTTTTACAAAAGTTAATAGAAAAAAATACCCTGATGTTACATTCAGCGCAGAAAATTAGCCTTTTTCCTTCTTTTAAAGTGCTATTGTACTTGATAACATTTGTTGCTTTTCCCTTCTCCCTTCTTTTRTTCACCTTTAGGTAGTTTGTGCCTRGATAAAAAGACCACCAAGGTTATTCACAGTAGTAGAGGAAGGGGAAAAGGGGTTGCACTTTTAATTAAAAACAAACAAAAAAAGTTCACATTGAACTGGGTCAGAGCTATCAGGGAGGGCAAACAGCAGCTGCCTGGAGGGAGGGGGGTGGATACTGTCCTTGGAAGAGGACAGAGGAGACGAGGAGGGGGACGACGACGTCACAACAACCGTGGTTGCTGCTTCAGGGTCAACTTAATCTAATATAACGTAGGCAGGAAGCTGAAACCAGCGTCTAAAAGATTGTTCTGTCCGCAGCCGGTGTTTGTAACTAATCCATCACTGTGGACGTCATGCCTCCGTGTACTGAGGAGGGGTCTCCTTCGGTGGGATGGCGATGGCTTCCTCGTATGGTGGCAGCAGAACCTGCAGTGCAACAAACACAATCAGCCAGCAAAGCTTTATTTTTCACATCAGCTTTTGTGGAAGGCATCTGTGCATCAGCTGATAAAATAAACACCAAATAAGCATCAATTACTTCCAAAATAATTTGTAATAAATGAGCAAAAGAGTTGTGGTTTGTTGCCAACAATTAATCATTGTTTACATTCAAACACTGACAAGTCCAATGGAGTGYGATGGATACTGAGTTAAATAATCCCCAGATGAAATTTGAAAGCAGCAGAGAAATTGGCATCTTTTCTAAGATTGCTTCTCTCTGATTAAAATCTAAAATCTCCACAGGAAAATTTTTAGTGCAGAAAGTGAGTCCTGCTTTCTTTATTATTTTTTTTAAAAGACACAAATAGCTTGGAGGAGCTTTCCCACACAGGCCAGCTTGTGCTCAGTCTGTCAGAGGTCTTTCTCTCCCCCCCCTCTCTAAACGACGTTATAAAACCAGCAGCGCTGCTAATTCACCGAGCGAGGGAAGATGTTTGGAGGGGATGGATTTGTGAAGCAGCCAGAGAGGCCCTGCGAACACATCACAGATGGGATTCGAAACGAAGCGGACAAGCGGAGTTACGCAACGCTTCCAGGAGAAGAAGGGAGCGAAGAGAGAGACGCTGGAAGAAGAGGAGGAGGGACAAAAAGAGAGGAGTGACCGTTGTGCATTTTAATGGCGCTTATAGAAAAGGACAAAAGATAAGCAGCTGCGTGCTTCATGTCGGAGGCAGCAAGAAGCCATTTAGACAAGAGATGCAGCTCAGAGTTAATGCAGCCAGAAAACTAGGTTTTCATGTTTATATGAGCTTTTAAACCCATTTATTCACCAGATATTTAATCTATTCAAGAACAACTGGTCCCTTCATGATCCTCTRATTAAAATTCAAACAGAAAATCACTTCAACTTTCAGCTGTTTTCCTCAATTTGTTTTCTTTTTATTAACATCATCTTGCAAATAATAAGGCAATAAAAGCAATTTAAAAAAACCTGAGAATTTACCTTTTATAATATGTATTTTTACTTACTAATAAATATTGTATTTGGTTTGTCCTCAGCTTTTATTTTTCATTCTATATCCTCATTCAATATTTAATAATTTAAAGTTAAAAACAGTTTTTAATCCACTTGTTTTGTTGTTTTCCTTCAACTGGATTTGTGCAGAAAAGACCTGTGTTCTGCATTTAATAAGTTAATATCTTTATATATGGCCAATTAGTCATTAATTTTACAATAAATACAAAAACAAAAGGAAGAAATGTGAACATAAATCACAAGGGCCATTTATTAAAGTCGATGCTACAGCTGTGTGACGACATGAAAATTTTTTTTTWAATTTCTTATACCTAACATAAACAAGCTGCTCTGGGTGTTAATGTCCCCTGTTGCTGTTTTTGTTTGACTCATATTTAAATGTGTTTACTGTGAATTATAAAAAAAAATAAACATTATTTCTGAAAGAAAAAAATTGTATAGTTCCTCTGGACGGGTTCTTCTCTAATGAAACGTTTCGTCTCTCCTCCAAGAGACTTCTTCAGTCTGAGAGTTTCAGGCAAAATTCAGGCTTTTAAGCCCTGCCTCCATATGACTGATGCTCACATCACATGGCTATCGTTGACACCTAATTAACACCTATTGTTAACAGGGGGTGGAGTGATACTGGCAATAGCCGCGCTGTARGAGGGGGACAACTGAAAACGGAGGCCTCCACCTCTGTTTAATGATGGACGGTCTTTCTTCACAAAAATGGCTTCTTTTRCTCCTCTCTCAAACCAACGTTCCTCTCTATCAAGAATGAGAACATCCTCATCTCTGAAAGAGTGACCGCTGGCCTGTAAATGAGTGAAAACTGCAGAGTCCTGACCATTAGATGTAGCTCATCTGTGTTGGGACATTCTTTTGAACAGTGGCTGCTTTGTTTCCCCGATGTATAACTGGTCGCAGTCCTCAGAGCAATGTTTTATATGCTGTTAAGTGCCAGGAGGACTGCGACCAGTTATACATCGGGGAAACAAAGCAGCCACTGTTCAAAAGAATGTCCCAACACAGACGAGCTACRTCTAATGGCCAGAACTCTGCAGTTTTCACTCATTTACAGGCCAGCGGTCACTCTTTCAGAGATGAGGATGTTCTCATTCTTGATAGAGAGGAACGTTGGTTTGAGAGAGGAGTAAAAGAAGCCATTTTTGTGAAGAAAGACCGTCCATCATTAAACAGAGGTGGAGGCCTCCGTTTTCAGTTGTCCCCCTCCTACAGCGCGGCTATTGCCAGTTTCACTCCACCCCCTGTTAACAATARGTGTTAATTAGGTGTCAACGATAGCCATGTGATGTGAGTATCAGTCACATGGAGGCAGGGCTTAAAAGCCTGAATTTTGCCTGAAACTCTCAGACTGAAGAAGTCTCTTGGAGGAGAGACGAAACGTTTCATTAGAGAAGAACCCGTCCAGAAGACCTATACTATTTTTTCGTTTTGGTTTTTTACCTGGATTACTGAGATRCATCAGGACATTTTTTTCTGATTTGTTTAAAAACAAAAGTTTTCYTCTACGACAGCAGCGGAGGACAAATAAATGGCATTTAGCCAACATCTGCTGAAAGGCCACATGATGCACAGTGTGACATCAGAGCCTGCAGGATTAGCTGCTGGCTGTCGAGTCTTTGTTGAGTAAAATAAAACAAAACGTCATCACGRAGAGGAGTGGCCACTCCAGCACAAGGACAAAGTGACAGACAGATGAAGTGCTGCGAGTCGACACAGGGTGCGAGGCAGATTAATGTCTTATCTATCAGGGTGGTGGATTAGAAAGCAGACTGACACATGGAAACAATGACTGTGCTAAAACCTCTTAGAAACACCTCGAGTCCACGCTGAAGTTCTAAATATTGTTCATCAACTCAGTCAATGTAGTCGGCGTTAGCAAAGATAATCAAATCCTCAGTTTGAGTTGAATTTGCACAACGGACGCGKCGAGCCAAATCCGCTGCTGTGCCGACGTATTTATAATTTTATCTAACATTGTTGGGTTTGCCGGCCTGTTGCAGAGGACTCACCGTGGTGTCGTTTGTGGTGACATAAACCAGAACTTCCGTGGTGCCTCTGCCGCTCACGTATCTGTAGCAGTTCCACACRCAGCCGATCAGGTAGGCCTGCTCCCAGGAGGTGAAAGAAAACACAAACAAGGAAAACACACAACGAGCTTTAGACACACGTGGATGTTTTATTGCAGCCGATGCGGCTTCTTGTGAGTCGGCTGTGTGAAGATGATTTCCTGCCTCTGCTGTTTTACTAGAAGCATCTTAACGGGCATCTCTTGCTTCACGGAAGGGTGAACTTGGCAAAAGGAAAAAAAAGTGTGTGTGTGTCTGTGTGTGTGTGTGGCCTGCTGAGTTGGTGCCTCTGTCAGCAGTAGGAGCAGAATGCTGGCCAATCACTACCATCTGCTGAGCTGACCTCTTCCTCTGCCCTGTCTAAGGTCAACCCAGGCAGAGACGATCGTTTTGCTCAAATGAAAAAATGAAATGAGCTTTGATCTGTACTTTGTGTATTCTCTCACTCCAATATTACTTTTTTTATACATATACTTCTAAAATAGGTTAAAACACCATTTTTGGCTTCGTTCCACTTCACTGGAAAACATTTCTCATCAGAGCAGCTAAGAATAAATCAACCAAATGAGCTTTTTCTCCTTTTTTTGGCTTTTGCTTTTTTCTGTCTATAAAACTTCAGCCAATTACATTTCCTTCTCTGCGAAATCTTCTAATCTCTTTTTTTAAAGTCGTCTTCTTCCCTCCGGTTCTCTCCCTTCCGTTTTGTCTCTGCAGCTCAGTGAAGGATGTTTGCTTCAGCAGGTGTTTGCTCTGTCCTGATAGCTGGAGGAGTCTTTGAAATCCACCATCTGGCTCTTTCTTATGATGATGCTCTTGTACAGAACAGGAGCCAGTATGACCATTTACCACATTAAAAATCGGCCTCATCATAAATGTGAGCTAAACTAAACTAAGTCATGCTGTTTATTATTGTTGTTTTTCCGGTGGCCACTTCCCATCAGAAACCCCACCCCGGCTCCAGCTTTGGATCTGCGCCGAGAACATTTCTAATCTCAGCTTAGAGGAGAAACGACTTGATTCAWTTGTACAGATGACTGCAATTTTATGCCGCATCTCATCCGGAGAGACCCGGAGAGGCCCGGAGCGTCGCTGCGCCCAGAGAGAACCCGTCCGTGCGTGAAAGGAGAATGAGTTTGACGCGGGTTAAGCTCTCCCGACGTCCCTGACCTTCTGCTCTCTGACGGCGTGACGGTCTCACCGAGACCGCTCAGAATCAGAACATCATTCGTTATGAACGCCATATGCTTCATTCGTCCAGTGGGGGAAAGTTAGCTGCATTAATTAAATGCTTTATGATGAAACAAATGGTAC